TCCCCATAAACGGTCACAGCAGCCGTACAGGAAGCAGGAAGCTGTCGCTCAGAGTATGGCACAGGCAGAAACTCTGCCTCGGGGCTCTGGGCCAGGGCTAGGACTTAACTCCATGCCAAGCAGACTGCAGTAGGTAGGTGGGTAGATAGGTAGGTAGGTAAGTAGTGGCTGGCTCCTTTCATATCCTTGGCACAGAAGGAGGATTCTGGGAGTATTGCTTCTGGAAAGAGAGTGTAGTGTGTTCCCCCATCCTGGTGGAGAGGGCTGTTTTTTCCCGTCCTCTGATTTGCGAGTCCTTAGAGATTGGGAGCGAAGGTGGGGGGAGGAGTCCTCCAGGAGGTGCGGAGGGGGACGAGGTGCTAGTTTGGTGCTTGGCACATAATATGCCCTCAGTAAACACTTGTGAGTGATGTGTCGGGTGTGTGGTAGAGTTCATGGCAGATCTAGAGCCAGTCAGACAAGTCTGAACTCTGGTTCTACCACTAACAGCTCTGAGCTTCGGAAAAATCCCCGATGCCCCCAAACTTCAAGCACTCGAGTGCCTATGGCAGGCAGGGGTCTTCTTGACAAATATTGGAAGCCATACTCCCACTAGCTTAAACCAAAAAGGAAATTTCTAGCTCACATAGCTGGTAGGGGCACTACCGCAAAAGTTGCGACCTTGGGGCAGGACCCAGGGTCTCCAAGATTCTGGCTCCTTGTCTTTGCCTGACTTTTGCAGGTAGGATCTGTCCCTGTGGCGGAGAAGGTGGCCATTTGCAGCCCAAATTCAGGCTTGGAGAGATGGCTTCTCTCTCTCTCTCAACATCAATATATCCATCTCAGAGAAGGCTTTGATTGGGGCTGTTTGGGCCCTAGTCAGACCTGGGTCACATACCTGGTCCTACGGTAAGGGGGAGTGGATGACGTCACAGGAGGAGGGGGATGGGAAACCCAGGTGGGCAGACAAAACCATAATACAGTACCTACGATACCTAAAGGTTGGGGGGGAGCACGCGCGTGCGTGTGCGTGTGTGTGTGTGCGTGCGTGTAGGGGGGGTGTTGGGGAAGCCCGAGTCAGGAGAACCCCTGAAAAGGGAGCATGCAGGTGGGACCAGAACCAAGCTTGGTCTATTCACAGGATTATCATGATAGTATTACCTATCATTTGGCCCCACTATATGTCAGGCTCCACATTAGGCTAAGTATATGTTCCATAAATCATTTCTCATTCTCACAGTAACTCTAAGAAGTAGGTATTATTAGCCCCATTTTAAAAATAAAGAGACGGTTGCTGGAGGGGAGATGGGTGGGGGGATGGGGTAACTGGGTGACAGGCATTAAGGAGGACACTTGATGTAATGAGCACTGGGTGTTCTATGCAACTGATGAATCACTAAATTCCACCCCTGAAAAAAAAAAAACACTGTATGTTGACTAAATTGAATTTAAATAAAGAATTAAAAAAAAAAAGTAAAGAGACAGACTTTTAGGACACATAGGCAGTGAGTGAGACAGATTCAAAGGTGGGTCCTTCAGACTCCAGAGCCCATATTTTTACCCAGGGTCAAGCTGCTGCTTTAGAAGCCAAAGCTGAAAGCTTGCTGGACAGTTGCAGACAGCACACTGTGAGCCCCAGCAGGTGTGGTCTTGCCAGGGACTTTCAAGAACTTCCCAACTTCCCGGCTGCTTACTTCCTCCGCTCCCCGTCCTACAGGCCCTTCCTGGCAAATGGAGACAGGCAAACCACTCGTGGTAATACAGGGACCTCTTCACCAAATGGCATTTCTCCCAGACTTGATCCCCCAATTGGTGACCCTGCCTGGAACTGTCTAGAGTCTGGCCTGTTCAGGTGAGAGGAAATGGGGCTGGGGTGTTTGGTGGGACACTGGCATGGCAAAAAAAATCAAAGCATGTCATCTCTCACCTAAACCACAGAAATATCTGTAGCCCCTAATGGTTCTCTGTCCCTGTGCCGCCTCTCCAAGCCATTCAGCTAGGCCCAGCTAAAGAGACCCTCCTAAAATACTATCCCTCCTGCACCCTCCCCTGCTCCAAACCTCAGTGGCTCCCCTTTGCCCACATTCATTATGGAGGCTTCCCAGGCTTCTCAGGACCTAGCCCTCCCTCCCAACTTCTCCAGCTTTCTCTTTTACCACTGCCCCTCGCACTTGGGAATGCAAAAGACTTGCAACAATAGGATAGCAAGGAACCATATGTGGCTATTGAAATTTAAATTAATTAAAATTAATTCAATTATAGTTAAAAATTCAGTTCCTCCACGCTAGTCACATCTCAAGTGCTCAATAACCTCTTGTGCTCGTGGCTACTGTACTGCACAATGCAGATATAGAACGTTCCTATCATCACAGAAAGTTCTATTGAGCTTTTCTCTTACAAAGGAAGCTCTGATCAAGGAATTTTTTTAGCTTTAGAGGAATCCAGGGTAGATCTGACCTATTCAGTGACTTTTTTTCTTTCCTTTTCTTTCTTTCTTTTATTCAGTGACTCTTTCAACAAATATTTGGCACCTACTGTATTCCAGGTCCTGAATACACAATAGTGGGCAGTGGGAGCTTGGTCCTTTTCTAGGAGTGAAAAGGCAATTGCTAGAAGGTGTCCTCAGTGCCTGAGCCCAGGTTTGGGGATCTGGGAAGGCTTCCTGGGACAGAGGACATCTAAGTGCAACCTGTAAACTGAGGAGGTACTAGCTAAACTGAGTGGCTCTCTAGACCAAGCTCTTTTTGGCCCTCAGTGGCCCTTATCATAGGCTGTTCCCACTGCCTGGACTGCTCCTCCTCTCTTTTTCCCCAGGGAGGGAAGGACGGAGGTTAGTTCCTTAAAGTTAGTTCTCCAGCTGTGACCAAGCAGAGAGTGTTAGACCACCAACCCAAGAGCTCCGTGCTGTGGCCTCTGCTCTCCCCACCCCTCCCCCCCAGGCTAGCTGGCTTTGGGGCCAGGCAAATGCAGGGCTAGGAAAAGCGGGCCCTGGGGTAGAGGGCTCCTCGAGAAGTGAAAGCTGACAATCTGGTGGGAGATGGGAGAGTCTGATTGTACCCTGAGGCCAACACAAGGTTGGGCTCTCCACCTTTCTCCAGTCCCTAAGTTCCCGCCTCCGTCAGGCTGAGGAAAGTGTAGAGGAGACAGGCCACTCCCACGTAGGGCCTAGAGGGAGCCAGGACCGGCTCTAGAGCCGAGGGAGGCTGGCCTGGGGTCTCCTATCCGCCTGCTTCTGCGAGAGCCCCCGCTGCTAATCCCCTCCAGATCACACAGCTGCGCCCACCCTCACCTGGCCCTATACCACCGGCCCCATGCTGTTCCTGTTCCCGGTGGCCTGGCCAGAAAGCACAGTGGGCCCTGAAAGTGACAGTCATTGACCCGAATTCCCGTGCGTGCTTATCTGGGAGACAGGCCCATCAGGCCCTGCACTGTCCTCACCGCTTTCCAGAGCACGCCTCACTTAAGCCTCCTCCCCTAGGATAATTGCGTAGGGACCTCTATCTCCGCCTCTATTACAGAAGTTAAGGAGAGGAGGCTCGGTCAGAGCCGGCCGCGCGGGCCCGACGGCCAACGCCCCACCGCCCAGCCTGGCCCCGCATCGCACTTGCATCGCACGGCGCCCGCGGCCCCCCTCGCCCAACTCCCCGGCCTCCGCACCACCCGATGCCCAGCCGCCCGGCCGCCAGCGCCCGGGGTCCGTCGGGAGGCGGGGCCGGGGGCCCGGCTCGGGGTAGGGGGGTCCGGCCCCTCCGTGCCAGCCTGAGCGCCAGGCGGCCGCAGAACCGCCCTTTGTTTGGCGGCGCTCGCGGCTTCTGCGCAGTCACGGTCACATGGCGCTTCCGGCACGGGGTGTTCCGGGCGCCGCGCCAGGGCTCGGGGACGCCCCCGCCCCTGCGCGCCCGCCGGCCCCGCGCGCCCGCCCGTCTATCTCGGACGCCCCCAGGCTCCCGGAGCCGCGGCTGGACCTTCCCCGCCGCGCGCCGCGGGCATCTCTGTTCCCTGGCCGCTTGTCTTCTCTGAGCTCCACCCTTGGGCCTTCCATAGCTTTTGATCTTAGGAGTGGCGCGTCTAATACCCAGTTGCTTCCTGGGGTCCGCCTGTCCCCCTTACTCTAGACAACACCAAGTGAGCAAAATCAGGCTCATCCCTCCCTGGGACAGCACTATACGGCAAGTAGGTGGGGGACAAGTAATTAAGTCCGTTCCTATCATTTTGTGGGGCGGCAGAGACAGCACCAAGTCTTTCCCACCCTTCCCCCACTCTGACCCCCCCGCAAACAAAGTCGAGCAAAAACCAGCCGCCCCAGGCTGGCCTCCACCGAATGTCTGAGGGCAAAAGACCCACTCAGGGACAGAAATGGGGCTGGCCCTTACTGCCCTGGCCTCGCCACCACTGCTCCATCACTCCCAGACCCAGTCTGTACCTTGGACACTTAAGGATCTTGGAGTATCATGGAGGCCTCACGGAGGCCACCTCTGCCTCGCTCAGAAGATTCCAGAATTCAGTCAACAAATATTTATTGAAAGCGGACTATGTACAGTGCGACCAAAGCTGCCAGCCCTGTGCTAAGCCCCCAAGAGAATGTGAAAGGATTCTTTTTGTCCAAGCAGTGCCCACCACCGCCCCCCCACCTCCCAGCAGGCCTCCTGAGGCTCAGCTTCCCCGAGGAGGCCTTTATCAAGAACAGCTTGGGAGGCTCTAGTAAACAGGGCAGATACCGCCATGCCTGGGGCCTGGGAATGGGGGCCCTGCCTGAACCCTGCTTCCCAGCCTTGGCGATGCAGCAGGGAGGGGCAGTGCTGAGCCCCAGGTGAACATGCGGTGGGGTCTCAGGGTTCTTTCTGCTTCTGGGCAACCTTTCCCCGCAGCCTCTCCTCCAGGCCTGCAGGGACTGGGGCAAGGGAAGAGGAGGGCCAAGGGGGGCAGAGACCTGGGAGAGGTGAGAGGGAGACAGCCCAAGGTGGCCAGGGCAGAGAGCAAACTATGGGGCCAGAGGTGGGTGCATACGGTGCGCGGGGGCATCAGGGCTTGGTGGGGAAGAGCAGGCAGGTGAGCTGATGGCGGTGGCTGTGTCTGTCCACAAGGGGCAGGGGGTGCTGCGTGAAGTGCTGAACCATGGCCGCCACGGAGGGGAACAGCTAGACAGGACGGGGGACAGCGGTGAGTCCCCCGAGCCTCGTGCTGGGAGAAACTTCCTGAAGAAAGTCTGGGGAGGAGGCTTGTTGACATTCTTCTAAATCCTTTCCCTCAGATTTGCCCCATGAAGTTCCATGGCCACTTTGTGCCCCATTTCAGGGCTCGCACAACTTTCTCACAACTGCACCTGCAGGCGTGCTATTAGCCAGGCCAGGTAGAAATAACTCTGGCGCCCTGCCTCTGCCTGGGTCCTCCAGGATGGGGACCTCAGCAAGTGCCGGGCACAAAGTCGGGTTCTTGGCACGGACAGGAGTCTGGACTACCTGGGCCCTGCTCACCTCCTGGCTGGGGTCAAGGCAGGCATAAATCCCCACCCCCCGCCCCGGGCCCTGGGCAGACTGAGCCCTGCAGGAGGGGGTGCCTCCCCCAGAGGAAGGCAGACCTCTGAGAAGGAACTCAAGTCACTGGCCTCTGTCATGTCCACCCAGTCCAGAAAAACTGCAAAATGTGGGTTTTCCCCTGGGCAAATGCGCCCGGCTGGGCCCGGCACACGGCTCTGCTCTGCCCTCTCGCCTGCTAGTCTCGGTCCTCCTCCAGCACCTACCTTCTCGTGGTTCCTGCCCTCCCGGCCCAGGGCATAGTGGCTCCCACCGTCCAGCCGCCGGATGGGAATGTTAAAGACCCGGCCATGGAGAAGCACCGCCAGGGTGAGGGGTTGGGAGCCGTGAGGCTCTGAGCTGGGGCGCACAGTGTAGGCCCCATCCTGTGCACCCCCCCCCATCTGTCAACTTGCAGCCCTGGCCCACAGATGGCCAGCAGCCCCCCCCACCCCGCCCTCCCATTCCCAGCTGCTCAGCCAACCACCATCCATGAGCAGATGGGTTTCCTCAAAGGCCCAGGGGGGCTGCAGTTGCCCACCTTTCAGAAGTGGAGCAGGGCACTCTCAACGGCATGGCGGTCACAGTTTCCTGAGTACCAGGGCTGACCCAGCAGGCTGCCGTCCTGTACATACACACGCAGCCATTCAGGGACGTGCCAGGGCACCAGAGAGGGGCTGGGGGGCAGAGAATCCTGGGCTGCTGTAATTTGTGTTCACATCTGCCTTCCCCAGACAGAGTCTGCGCCAGCAGAACAAAGGTGTGTCCCCGCCCGCTGCCCAGCACGGTGCGGCACACACACAGTCAATGTGTTCCTTGCAATGGCAGCCGCCAGCCCAAGAGGGCTCCCTGTCGGCCTCCTCCCAGCCCTCTCCCAGCCCCTCCTCACCTCAGCAGCTGAGGTGCTCCAGGTGGGTGCTCTAGAGGAAAGAGAGGATCTCCTTCCTGCTGGAAGAAGCAGATTACAGAGTTGAGGCGGGGAGGGGATTAGGCAAAGAAAGCTTTGGGCCCAGCTGCAGAGGTGCGGGAGGTTAGAGGGCTGTGCACAGAGGCCTGTAGCCCAAAGCAGGACACTCAGTGCTTCACCCCTCCTCTCCCAGGTCTTGGGCTCTGGTAGGACCTATCAGCTAGGCCATGTGTGACCTCCAAATGAGGGGTGATCTTGAGGTACAAGCTGGGAGTTTCCTGCTTTGGTGAAGACCGTAGAAATTGCCCAGTGGGATCCCCTCAGGCCTGCTCTCAGCTGAAGTCAGAGCTGCAAGGACTCCCACAGCAAAGTAGGGCATGAGGGGCAGGCAGGGGGGTGGGGAGCAGAGTTTGTGGCCTGCAGGGCTGTGGCTGGGGTGGGCTGGCAGGACTGCCTGAGGTTCATGCAGAAGATGCCTGTACTCACCTTTAGAGGTGGCATTCGCTGCTCCCTGGGACACAGAAAGGCTGGTCAGAAGAGATTCAGGCCCATAGCCCCCGTCCCCCGTGCAATGAAGTCCCTCCCTGAGCCTCCCCCCACCCCAGGTCACTTCTCCCCTGGCTACTAGCCTCTTACATTCTGAGCTTCCTGGGGGGCTACGGTGGGCCTGTGGGGGCAAGTTGGGGAAGAGAGCTCAGGTTTTACCTCCTTTAAGAGAAAGAGCCCAGTGCATCCACACACACACACACACACACAGGAAGCCTGAGTTGGCCATCTTGTGCACACACACACACACACACACAGACCCCTGGTGGGCACTCACCTGGGCACCAATGATACCCTTGGCAGAGAGACTGGGGGGGGGGGGACTTGGGAGCTCAGAGTCTGAGTCAAGGCCGGGACTGAAAGAGGGGGGGCAGGCTGGGCTGGGCTGGGCACCAGGCAGGAGATCCACGCTGACCAGGGAGGGGTGCAGATGCCCGCAGGGCCTGCTGCTTCTCAGCAGCTTGGGATCTCTGGGAGTCCTTCCAACCAGAGGGAGCGCTGTCCTGCCATAAGAGCTGGGAAGCCCCATGCAGCCCTTGCTTAAGTCTCCCCTACTAGGCAGAGTGGGGGGCAACCTGGACCAAAGGCTGAAGCATGGGTGTCCCTGTGGGTGTCTGAAGGCAAATGTGTATTGGTGGAATGGTGAGGGAAGACGAGGGAAGAATGTGTCCTGTTTTGAGCAGCTGAGGCCCCAGGGCAGGAGGGAGCTGGGACAGAGGGAGATGTTTACCTGGACTGGGCTCACACTCCAGGTAGAGGTTCTCATCAGTTGTCTTTGGAAGGCCTGGCACCTAAGGGTTTGACCAGCAAGTAGGAGAGAGGGTGAATCCATCATTTGGGGGGGGGGCGGTGGGCACCTTCCCCCCCACCAAGGTGGACCTCTTTCTGAGAGCTAGCTGGAATGATTCAAGTTGCTCCTTTGCCTGGGGAGGAGCATCCATGAGCACCTTCCTCCTTCAGAGGTGCTTGTAGGCCCTAGCTCTGCTAGGACGTGGGCGTCCAGGAGGAGATCTGGGCGAGTTCTTCCCCAGTAGCGCTGGGCAGTACAGATAGCTGGCTTACACCCTGTCAGGGGCCGGTGGCAAACAGGGAGCCCACTCTGCTCTGAGCCTTTTTCCTTGGTTTCAGAGATATTTCCTGACCCTCCCAGGCCTGCTACCCTAACTCTGCCAACTTCCTAGCCAGAACCCTAGAGGGTGAGTGGAGGCGGGGGGGACGGAGGGGCCACTCACCACTCTGGCCGGTGTAGCCACCTCTGGAAAGAAAAGGAGAAACCACCAGTCAGAAGCGCAGGAAGAAAGGAATTCAGTGAGACTTAGGCTGGAAGAGTGGAGTGTCCTCTGATCTTATCTGAGGGCATCCTCCGAGCCAGCGTTGAAGCCCCAGGAGAAAGCCACCCTGAGCTCTGATTGCCCCACTTCACAACCCTGGGGGTGTTGCCGGGCTTGACCTCCCAAACCATTTGCCAGGCTTGCTCCAAACAACTTCGGGCTGTTCCAAAAGTCAAAACCACCCCCAAGCTCATGAACGCTTACTAACCACTGGGCACAGTAAACACGAACTTGCCTCAGATTAGCTGTTTGACCCGAGGCAGGAGGAGACTGCCCCTCTTGGGCCCTTTCCAGACAAAAACACATTGGCTGAGGTCCCTCGCTATCCCAACATCCCAGGGTTCTGGGTTCACAGGCCTCAGGGCACTTAGCACAGGCAGAGTCTCTGGACAGTGATAGCAATGATGACAAGGCTGGAGACTGGGGCCAAAGGGTCCCTTGGATGGGGGTTGACACTCAGATGTGTTTCCATAGTGAAGGCTGCCCTTCAGATCTCCTCATCTCGGAGTGCCCCTTGCCTGCCCCGGAGACCACAGCAGGTGCACAACAGGACCTGGGAGTCTGGGACTCTGAAGCTCTGTGATCTCACACAAAGCATTTCTGGGCTCCAGCCCTCAGTCTCCTCCTGAACTGCCTGCCCTAGCGGGGATGGGAAATCAGCAGGTAAAAAAACGAGGACCCCCCCCCCGGGGGGGAGTGCCGTGACCAGGCAAAGCCCGAAACCAAGTAGCCTGAGCTCAGGTCTACCCTGAGGGGGCCAGGATTCCCCACCTCAGGGTGGGCACTGAGCGGGCCTCGGAAAGACACAGGACATCCTCATTACCTTGCTTCCCCACGGGGAAGGGCTGTCCCTGCTTCCTAGTCTCTGGCAGGCTCAGGACCGCCTTCAGCTGTGGGCACAAGGGGCGGGGAGGAAGAATAGGGTTAGGGGTGGGGGGGGAGGGGAACTGAGGCAGGGGAAGGGCAAGGATGGCGGGGTGGGGTGCGGCCAGGTTATGTATGTCTGTGCAGCCTCGAAACCACCGCAGCACAAGAACTCATGTACAGAGGTGACTCTTTGCCTCTGTCCTGTGGCTCTTCCTTTGTTGTGAGTCTCTCCCTGTTTTTCTTTTTATTCCAGTAAAATCTATGATGAAAGTGGTAACGTCCGAGGCCATAAGCTTCTCTCAGCACAGCGGGCTCTCGAGCTGGCAGCGATGGCGGCAGAGTGGGGGATTTCTTCCCTTTCTAGGCAGGGAGGGGTCCTCAGGCCCCAGGGTGCGGGGAGGGGTAGCCGAGCCTGCCAGGCCTTCCCAGCTCCAGCTCCAGAGGAAGGGTGAGTCCTGGGGGATGCTGACAGGCAGGGGTGGGGGGGAGGGGAGGGGGAGGGCCAGTCAGGCAGGTGGGAGCAGCAAGGGCTAACTGGGCTCCGCTTCTGACACATCTAATTTTTCAGGGGCCTCTTGAATGCAAATATGGGGGAATCTTGCAAATGAGATGCCTCTTAGATTTACTCCCTGGGAAGTGGTAGCCGGGTAGGGTAGGTGGGGAAGGAGGGACTTGAGGGGGGGCTGCTGTTCACCGTTGTGGCCTGGGGCTGCGGTGGTGGTGACTTGGAAGGGCCCAGGGGGCCAGGGTGATCTGGAAAAGGCCCCAGGCATCATGGGTCAGTGGGTTTCTCCCACGTCGGTTCCCATTTTCCTCCCGCCCCCCACCTAGCCGCTATCTCCTCCATCCCCCTCTCCCCCTCACTGGCTTCCCCCAGCCCCGTCTCCATGGCAACTGGAGGCGGCCAGCTTTCCTGCCCCCACCTGGCCTAGCGGAGGAGCCCTGGGGGTGGGATGCCAGCAGCAGCCGGGGCTCTCCTGGCATCCCTACCCTTGCTCTAAGAAGTGAGGGATCTCGGAGGAGGCCCCAGGGACCCTGTCGGGCCTCCTGCTTTCCCACGGTTGCCTTGGTTACAGTGCCCCTCCAGGCTCCTCTCCCCTTCCCACTCTTCCTCCTGCATTTCTCCCTCCTCCCTCCGCCTTTCCTTCATCCTTCTCTCTCTCTCTGCCCAGCCCAGAAGCTTCCACAGCTGCCAGCTGAGGCCTCTCCTTGCCGCCCCAGCACAAAGGGAGACAAGGCAAGGCCTGCAACCTCTTTCCTCGTGGGGGACCCTCTGTCCTGCCTGACCACCCAACTCCCTGCCTCAACTCCCCAGCCCTTACCCAAGTACAAAGAGTCCTCCTCCTCGGTGTCAGGAAGGTGGGCTGGGGCAAGACTGAAGGGCAGAGCCTCACAGGGGGGCAGCTCATATTTATCTTCATCATCTTCTTCCTCCTCCTGGGCTTTCCAGAAGGGACAGAAGACGGGCAGGACCAGTGGTAGCCACTGTGGCCCACCTCCCTCCACCCCAGGCTCAGCAGCTGCACTTACCTCGAGTATCCAGGTCCCTGGGGCGGGCCGAGGAGATGGGCTGGGGGCATCTCTGTTCCAGGCTGGGAAATCTGGACAGGGGACTGATGAGACTGGCCTCACCTTCCAGCGCCCCCCACCCCACAATGGGATGGTCTTCCAGCGCCCCCCACCCCTCTCTTTCCCCGCTATAATAAACCATCTGCCTTTTTACAGTGGGCCTCGCTGCTTCATTTGACTCAGAGGAGCCACTCATGGTGAGCCTTTCCAACACTGCAGCAGGGACCGTGAGGTCGGCATTTTGAAAATAAGGGGGCCACCGTCACTTACCTACACATCTGGGGGGTGGAGGCGGTGGCTCCAACCTGCAACCAGACTCTAGTCAACTCTGCCCAAGGGGCCAGACACTGCACTGCTCCCAGGACATTCACAGCAGCGACTGTGTGAGTGGCGCCCCTTGGAGTTGTGTGCCAATAGCCTGGGGCCAGGGCAGCAGGAAGAACCGTCTGGGGGCAGAGCTAGTGCCTGGTGGGGACACAGCTGGATGAGCTGGTGCCCCAGTGAAGCCGGTGGTGAGGGCGCCCTAGTGCTCACAGTGGGGTGGAGGTAGGAGGATGGTCTCACTGGGCAAGTAGGGCTGTGCCCAGGAAAGGGGCATCGAGGTAGAGACAACAGAGGAGGCAGAGGAGAGGGAGGAGCCCGAGTACTCACCGGCGCTTGCTTCCCCTGAGCTTGTCCTGGAAAGAATTGGGGGAGGGGGGCGGATAAGGGAGGAGTCAGTGCCACCCGGATGCCTCTCCCTGGGAAGCGTCCTGGGCCCCCAGGGGTGGTGGGCACATCTGTGCACCTGCGGCTGCCCCAGGACCAACTCTCACCATGGTCGGGCTGAAGGAGCTCTGATTCCTGGGAGCCTAGGCTCTACCACAAATGGCCTGGGGACAGAGGCCCTATTCTTCTCAACATTTGCATCTCACAAGCACCAGGAAGGTGGGTCTGCTGTGGCCTCTAACCTCGGACCAAGTTGCCCCATGAGGCTCCCATAAGCTCCCCTACGTTGCCTCCCACAGCTTCAGTCCCCCGTCTCCAGCCCCTCTGCCCCACTGGAGGAAGAGCTGTCCCCTCTGCTCCAGGGCCTCAGGGCCACAGGCTGGACCGGTGCTCAGAGGCTTCCCGCAGCCCTCTGATCGGTGCCTCCTCCACCCAGAGGCTCCGACTCACCCCGCTATCAGCCGGACTGACCTTTCCCAACTCACAGAACATAGGACATGAAGGGACAGATCCAGTTGGAAATGGGAGACTGTCCTTGCACTTTCTTAAACGCTTTATGCTTGCTGGTGAATGGTGACCAATGATCAAAGAAATAGAGGTTAGTGAAAAGCTCAGAAATATGCGTGTGTATTTAGTTTGACAGCTTCCTTTGTGGATGGCTGTATTTATTCATTGAGTAAATATTTATTGAACATCGTCTCTATGCCAGGCACTGTTCCAGGTGCTGAAGATGTTGTAGAAAAACCCAAGGAGGCATGTGTATTTCCTGCTGGATCCTCACAATAGCCTCATGATGCAAATGCTAGTTTCATCCCTGTGTTTCATATGAGGGAAGTGAGCGTGTTAGAGCAGGCTCATCACGGAATACCATCGATGTGGTGGCTTGAACAACAGAAATGTCTTTTCTCACTGTTCTGGAGGCCAGAAGCCCAAGATCAGTGTGCCATCAGGATTCATTTCTGGGGAGAGATCTCTTCCTGGCTTGCAGATGGTCACCTTCTCGCTGTGTCCTCACATGGCCTAGACTCTGTGCAGGCCTGGAGAGAGATGTCTCTGATCCCCGCTTAGAAGGACACCCGTCTGATGGAATCAGGCCTCCACCTCTGTGACCTCATTTAACCTTAGTGACCTCCCTCAAGAGCCTGTCTTCAGATCCAATCAGTGGGCAGTAGGGCTTCACCAGATGCGTGGAGGAGGGAAATGCAGTCCAAAGCTCAGAGGCTTTGAGGAATTAAGTGGCTTTCCCAAGGTCAGACAATCCCACCAGGTTTTGCCCAACCCAGAGCCTGTGCCCTAACCAGTGGGCGCTCCTGTGTCTCATCTGGGGTTGAGTCTTTACCCACCTTTCACATGACGGAATTAGACACAGCAGGAAGCATGGCTTCCTGAAGCCTGAAGGAGCCCATGACTTCCAGGTGTTCTGTTACTCGAGTGACTTCCGGAACTTTAATATCTGAGAAGTGTTGGGGGAAAGGCCTGGGGTCTGCCTTTGTTTAAAACAGGGACTGAGGAAACACAGATGAGGATCATGAACATAAGACCTTTCTAAGGCACCGTAACTTTCCTCTGTCTGTTATTTTGGTGATGTTCTTGCTGTTGGCAGAAAGGAGAAGTGAAGGCCAGGTGCTTACATCTTTGGAGGCCACGCGGCTGGGACACTAAGGAGAAAGCCCCACGGTTGGAGCTGGCCACAGCCTTCAGAGAGGAAGACCAGATGATTCCTGGGACCTGCGGGTCAATGGGCACTTCAGAAGCTATGCAAAATCACTGGGGTGGCTTCACAGGGAGCCCATGTGGTAGAATGGGAAACACTGAGAAAACAGAAACAGAGAAACAATCCAGGCCTGGGTCAGGAAGGACAGGAGGCTCCTCCCTGACCTCCCCTCCCCATTTGACCTTTGTTCCACATTTGGACCGTAATGCAAGGGGCAAGCTCCCTTACCAAGGGGACCTCCTATGGGACAGGGTCAGCAGGTCCAAGTCAGCAGGAGGCTCTAGACACCACCCCACTACTCTAGATACCCAAACTGAGTGGGTTTCCAGTAAGTACCCAGGCCCCCCCCCCCCATTCTGGGCTTTGCATAGGCAAATTCCAGGACCTGAGTGAGTGAAAGGGCCCCAAGCACAGAGGATGGAATCGTGCCATCTGGGTGGGGGCACTGGCCGGGACAGATCAGGGAGAAGGGGCGGGGGCGGAAGGAGGTCTGCCTCATGGCTTTGTCTCATCCTGACCGGCCTTCTGTGGGGTGAGGACTGTGCTTCTTCCTAAGTACACAGGCAGATTTGGACAACTTCTTTCTCCTCTGGTACAGGAGTGCTCTATGCAGAACCATAACTCTTCCCTTGGGATGAATCCCTAGAAGTGGACTTGCTAGAAGCTCACATTTTGGTTGCAAGACTCCATTGTCGGGTAGCCCCCGAGTGCCTGTTTTAATGTCCTTCCATGGCATGCAGTGATGCTCCACATTTTCTGGGCCTCAGCTGCTGATCTCCAATGAGAACAGACTGTAATTTGCAGGCCCAAGGTAAATCCACCCTAAGAAAACAGACAGCTCTCTGGGGCAGTGCCCCCCCTATTTGCATGATCACAAGCATCGCTGGAGAGCTTGTTAAAAGAGAGAGAGAGAGAGCCTTCCCTGAGATCTTTTTTTTTTTTTTTTTTGACAGAGAGAGAGAGAGCGCGCGCGTGTGTGCATAAGCAGGGGGAGCGGCAGGTAGAACATTCCCTGAGATCTTAAGGATTGTCTGCTCCAGGAGGGAATTGGGACTCTATATTATTATTATCTTAAAGATTTATTTGAGAGAGAGAGCACACACGTGTAAGCAGTAGGGAGGGGCAGAGGGAGAGGGAGAGAAGCAGACTTTGAGCTGAGCGCAGAGCCCAACACAGGGCTTGATCCCATGACCCTTGAGATCATGACCTGAGCCGAAACCAAGAGTGGGACGCTTAACCAACTGAGCTGCCTAGGTGCCCCAGGACTCTATATTATTTTTAACAAACATCCTAGGTTAATTTTATGATCGTTTTTGGGAAATGCTGTTCCACAGGAAACAGTCTGAGGACATGTGACTTCTAGGACATTTTTAGAATCCTGTATGGACTTTTGCTCGTTCAGAACACAGGGGTCCCCAGCAGAGAGAGAACGTGACACAGACCGTGCTCTCAAGGGGCCCCTCCGAGTGATGGAGAGGGCACCCCCCAAGGAGATGTCCAATCTCTGAGTTTCGGTTTCCTCTTGTGTAAATGGGGATGTCAGTAGGCAGTCCTCTTGGCAGGGGAGCTTCTGAGGTCAAATGAGGGGATGGCACAAGAGACACACCTCAGCCACCCCATAAAATATCAGCTCTTCCTGAGACAGCGGTGTCGTGCCTGACGAGGTTGTTGCCAGCAGACAGGGCGGGTGGGGAGGTCTAGCCGGGGTCCCTGGTGTGGCGAAGTGGGAAGTACTGTGAGGAGGAGGGCGTGGTTCCTGAGGACCCGGAGGAGGAAGGTAAGCAGGCTATGGCCAGAGGTCTCAGGGGTGAGGGAGGGCAGCGTGTGGGGCAGAAGCCCTAAGATGGGGTGGCCAGACTCCTGGAGAATGGAAGGGGACATGTGCCATTCTTTCTGACTGGTGAGCATGTCCTGCATTTGGGGCATTCTCCATCTTCCGAATCCTGGTTCCAGCCATAGGAGCCCCATGAGGCCTTCCCAGCCTCCCTTGCAGCTGGGGTGCAGGCATTCAGCCAGCCACATGCCCTCGTGTCAGACTTTGTATCTGAAGCAGGCTCCAAGAGGAACCCACCCTGGGGAGGGGATGACAGCTGTATCCTATCTCCAGAGGCTGGAGGTTGAGATGCTAGTGGTACCACCAGGGCCCAGGTTAGCAGTGTTGGCAAAGAGTGGTGTCTGTGCCCAGAGGTGCCTCCACCAGGTCAACTTGGCCGTGACCTTTGGGACATTGTTCCTGGGGGTTTCTCTGGTCCTCCCGGAGACACTGTGAGCTACTGAGTATTTTTAATAAATTATTTTTCAGCCTAAACTAGCTAGGGTGGGTTTGTCTTACTTTCATTTAAGAACTCTAGAGTTGAGGGGCGCCTGGGGGGCTCAGTTGGTTAAGCGTCTGCCTTTGGCTCAGGTCATGATCCCGGGGTTCTGGGATGGAGCGGGCATCGGGCTCCCTGCTCCGCGGGGAGCCTGCTTCTCCCTCTCCCTCTGCCTGCCGCTCTGCCTGCTTGTGCTCTCTCCTTATCTCTGTTAAATAAATAAATAAAAATCTTAAAAAAAAAAAAAAAAGAACCCTAGAGTTGAAACTGCAGAAGCCCAACTGCGAGGCCAGATGTGGGTGTCTCCTAGAAAGGCGAGACCAGGCAGAGGTGAGACCGAGGCCTAGGACGGCCGAACATGCAGGGCTGGGGAGGGGAGACCTGCAAGTGATAAACACCGTCCTGTGAGGGGTCAGGGAGAATGAGTCCTCAAGATAGTTTTACCTGAGCAGGTGGAGCCTGAGGCCAATCAAACTCTGTGGTTGGGTTAAAGTGAAGGTCAGGGACCCGCCCTCTCTCTCCCTAAAACAAAGAGGAGAGTCCTTTTTTCTTTTTTACTGCATTTTGCTATACATGAAGAGTGCCCTCCCTCGGTTATATTCTCTAAGGACTCAGTAAAGATCTAAATTTCTTCCAACTGAAATGTCCTTAAGTCAACAGGGTGCAGAGGGGCAACACCCCTCCTGTTGTAACCTCAGAGAGAAGGGGAGTATGAGTAAGTCCGTGGGGGAAAATGGAGGTGATACCAAGCTTGGTGTGTAGTAGGTCTCTGCGTTTTTTCTGGAGGCCAGAACACTAGTTTCCCTCAGATTTTCCAAGGGTTAGGGTGGGGGCTGACGGCCGATGGCAGCTTTCTGGGTCCCTAGGGTGAAGAGCACGAGCCGGTAGCACCCTGCCTCCGCCTGCCCCTGGCACGCCTCTGTCCCACACACCCTGCCCTCCCTCTTCCGGAGCCTTTGCTCATAGCAGATTTTGCCATGTCACAGCTCTGCCTAAGACCCATGAGTGACTCCCCATGGCTCCTTGAATGAAGGAGCCAAGTGCTTCTCGTTGCCTTGTAAGGTCAGGCCCCTATCTTCTTCTC